TATGTAAACATTTCTTGGTATAAATATGAATTTATCATTTTGTTCAATTCTTAGTTTACATTTAACAAAAAAAATATTTTTTGCTATAAATATGAAAAATTCTATATTTTTATAATTTTATTTATACAATAATACGGGTCAAATTGGAACAACCGCGACCCACATGGGCTCGACCCAGATGGGTCAACGGGTGAGCTTGGGTTGTCGTCCAAAATTTGTGGGCCGACCCAGAACCCTTAGCGGGCGGACTTTTTTCACACGGGCAGTTACTGAGCTCATATGTTGGCAGGCGACCAGGCCCGGACAACTCGGATTGACACCTCTATAACTATATCATCTATATAGACAAGAAGAAGCACCATACTTACCTTGGTATCGGAGATAAAGAGAGATGAATCAACTCTGAGTAAATAGGAAACCAAAGAGAGTGGAACGAAATTTGTCAAATTAGCGCTTTAACTTATAAACAACGAAAGAGGGCAAGGATAAGAGACCCGCAGGTGGTGTCATATAAATCTCTTCCTTAATGTCATAATGTAAGAAAGCATTCTTAACATCCATCTGCCACAAAGACCATCTCTTGGAGGCAGCTATAGCAATAACGGTGCGAACCGTTATCATTTTGGCAATAGGGGCAAATGTCTCCTCATAATCTATACCATATTCTTGAAGATTACGAAGAGCCACCAATTGGGCAGCGATCTAGTGATCCATACAGAATATACCCATTTACATCCAATAGGTTTGATGCCAGAAGGGCAAAGAACAATATCCCATGTGTGATTCTCTTGAAGAGTTTGAAGTTCCTCTTCATAGCTTTCTCCCAACAGGGTTGGGTAATAGTTTGAGAATAAAGTTACAGAGAAACCATACCGATCAGGAGGATGAGTAATGCGAGTTGATCATTGAAGACTATCAAAGACTGGGATAGGATCGGGATCGGGATTGGGATCGGAAGCCGAAATGGGCAGTGACGCTGAGGCCGTCGTCTCTAATATATCACACTTAGTTTAAAACGTTCAATAGGACGAGAGCAATCCTCAAAGCTAATGAGTGGAGCTGAATCAGAAGATGATAGATGTTGGAAGTAATACTGATTCTCAAAGAAAACAAGATTGCTAGAAATACTGAAGCTATTAACAACATCATAACAAATAAAACCTTTCTGAGCAATGCTGTAACCCATGAAAGCACATCGTACGGATTGTGCAGAAAGCTTATGTCGTTCATGTGGAGGCAAATGGACGAAGCAAACACAACCAAAAGTATGCATCATGTCATATATAGGATGAGTGTTGTATAGGCGGAAATAAGGAGAGTCAGAATCTAAATGCTAAGCAGGATGTCGATTAATCAAATATACATCTATGGAGAGGGCTTCAATCCAAAATTTGGGCAGAACTGTAAATTCCAAGAGAAAAACCTTACAACATCCAACAAGTGACAATTCTTTCTTTCAACCACTCCTTTCTACTAAGGAGTATATGGGTAAGAACGTTGATAAAGAATACCCTTCTGTTGTATAAAGGTTTAGCACTGATGAGACATATATTCTCCATCATTGTTGGACCTCAGAATTCGAATACCAGAAGAAAACTGTGTTTCAATGTAAGCTACAAAAGTCTGAAGGGTAGTACCAACCTCACTTTTGGAACAGACAAAATAAATCCAAGTGTAACAACTGAAATCATCAATAAAAGTCATAAAATACTTATAATGAGCATGTGAAGTGACAGATGCTACAATATAGTAATTTAAAACTACTAACCACTATTGCCTTGCTGCCACTAAGGTGGATTGGAAAAGTCCACAATAAACCCATAAGATGTTAAAGCTCATTAGAATATTATAAGCATATAAGAATCGAATTGAATCCAACATTGAAAACTTACTAGTTTTGCTACTTGTTTATATAATGTTACACCTGTAATATAGTAATTTAAAACTACTAACCACTAGTGCCTTGCTGCCACTAAGGTGGAAGCACCATTCCCGTATGTCGCAAAGGGCATAGTATGCGGTTTAAAGATGCACTTCGTACGTGCGTATTGTCACGAGGAGCCTTAAAGTTTCCAGTAAAGGAACCATGGTTCGATGACATAGCAACATGTGGCTATGAGTTGACGCTCTCGTGGCAATGACGATTGTAGGTATAGTAATCAGGCGTGGCATCTACATAGAAAAAAGGTATGATGACTGGATGTGTCAGTTCCAATATAGTGGTATACATTGAAGAGTTATGGACCATCTTGAAGGAGTGCAATCTCGAAAGCATAATTTGAAGTTGTGTGATAAAAGGGCTGAGATTGATTTTGACCAAATGATGTACCCATTCATAAGAGGTGCTTAGGATTCTCTATAAAGGGATCCCTAATTCCATAATTCTTACACCAAATCAATTACAAAATTAAATTGATTTCTAAATCTTTTCTCTCCAAAATCCAGTCCGAATTATTTTTCAGAAATGTAATTTTGTTCGAGAAATTTAAAGTTCATGTTTTATTCGTTCGAAATGAGTGCTCTCAATACATTGGTTCGACCAATAAGGTTTGTATAATGGAATAATGACTTTGGAATAAGCGTTATATCTTGGGATATTGATATTCGATAAATCTTGTTGGAACTAGCTAAGGGGTTGAAATCTGTCTTAAGGAAACTTGCTTTGACATATCTCGCTTCATCTCCTTCTTCTTTATTTCTTCCCTCGTTTTCTTTCTTATAATTGTACGGGTCATTATTTGACAACATACTCCTCCTTCATATGAGCTTGGGGCTCACTACGAAGAAACAATGATAGTTTCTTAAATGTGTAGAATGTAGATAAAGTCAAGAAAAATTTTAGATTCAGTTGTGCATTTACTTGTTTATAAATCCAGACAAAATTACCTGAAAACCTTCAATAAATTTTCATCCTGAAGGTCTAGCACGGTTTGCTATCTGAATGTCCTACTGTATAATTTGACTCGTAATGGCCTAACCATCTAGTACGTTCACTACAATGTAATAAAATTTTGTGATTGTCCTACGGTAGCCCCCTCATCATCTTGTTTCTTTTTCTATCCCATTCCCTTTTGCAGCTATGGTTCCCCAACCCATGAAGACATGTTACAATTTGACGAAACGTAGCTTAAAGATCTAGACTGTCCCCATTATCTGCATCTATCGACATATAAAGATTGTGCTACTGGAGTTTTGTAGATTTTGTTTTTCATTATTCTTGGCTTCAAAGCTTCACATTGCCACTAAAGCCGTAAAAGAAATAGTAATTTGCTCTTGCAAACATGATAAATTCAGTGTTGCCCTTTTCTCATCCTCGAAATCTCTCAGTGATAGACTGATGATGCAGTCAGCTTCCATTATCAGCGTTGTGGGTCTTCTATTTTATGTTAGTTATATTAAATGAATTCGCAGCGAGTCATAAATTTCCCATCTGTTTTACAATTATTCATGGAGAAACAGGGCATATTTAGGATGTTTTAGTCAACAAATAACAAGTTATGTGGTGGTGGATGATATTTGTCAGGACTTNAACAAGTTATGTGGTGGTGGATGATCTTTGTCAGGACTTTTTGGATTAGGATAATATTCTTTGGATATTCTGGAATTAAAGGGCCTATTGCCAGTTTTCTTGTGATTAACTTTGATGTTTCTCTTATTGTCCATCCTATGTTTTTGCAATTAGGGTTAGGAAGCTATCCATTTTGTGATTTTCTTTCACATGATTTGATTAATTATTTTATCAAAAACTATGTCTCTTCCAGCATACTTTTCTATGTGCATATAAGTTTTTGTATTTTGCATACCGATTTCATCTTTTTAAAGTTAATTATGACTTTTTACCGGTGCTTTATTTAGGTACATGCAACTGTTACTGAAACTGAGCAGCCTAAGTGGTGGGAAAGGAATGCGGGTCCCAATATGATTGACATTCACTCAACACAAGAATTCTTAAATGCCTTGAGTGAGGCTGGGGACAGACTAGCTATTGTCGAGTTCTATGGAACATGGTGCGCTTCGTGTCGAGCACTATTTCCCAAGGTAATATTTGTTACTAGTTAATTTTTCAATTCTAATTAACAGTATCGTTACTTTGATAATAAAGTACGCTGCTGGAGTTAATTTATCAGTACTGACAAACATAGGTCAACATCTGCATTCAGCGATTTACAGTTATGTATAACAACTATAACTTCATTACGTGGCCTTTTATAGATCAGAAATTTGTACCCTCATGAAAACTTCAACTTTTACCTTGTAAAAGATTATATAAATGAACCTCTTCTAGAGTGTCTTGGCTTCAAGGTTTAAGTGATCATGGTAGAAGTTTCTAATTCAAACTCTTTGTGGTTCAAGTCTTATAATTTAAGGGAAGGAATATTTTCCAAACTAGAGCCATAGATTTTTACAACAGAGATTCTGGGTTTAAAGTTTTGCTGAATCTTCTAGTTGGGCTTCATACCTTGTTTCAGAACTAGCTATTAACAGATGTCATGCTATTTATATTTTGCTTATTTGCGAGAGGATATATAGATGTTGCACGTGTAATGTTAAGCTAATCTCCAATATCCAATATGTGTTTGATTTGGTTATCTTAACCTGTTCAAAGGGTGATAAATGTTCTGTTCTAATCAAATATCATGTATTTGCATGTTGAATGGGTATAACTACGTCATTATGAAACTAATTCAATAGATCTTACTGTTGTCCTGTGAATAAAAAATGGCCAATCTTGTGGACACATTATCTACGAAGGGGCTGCATAATTAAATGTACTTGGAAACTGCATTTTAGAGATATGCATGGAGGAGAGTATAGTTGCAAAACAGTTTAATTGCCATAAATGAAGCATAACATATTGTTCTTGATGACACTGAGATTTCGAAACAAATTAAGTACACCTCAGTTTTGGAATGAAGAAGATATTAACATTATCTCTTTTCTTAATAAATACAATTTTCTGGACCGAAAGTAAGTTAGTTAATAGTGTTTTTGATTATCAGCTTTGCAGAACTGCTGAGGAACACCCAGATATTTTGTTCCTAAAAGTCAATTTTGATGAAAACAAGCCCATGTGTAAGAGTTTGAATGTCAAGGTACTTCCTTATTTCCACTTCTATAGAGGAGCGGACGGACAACTGGAGTCGTTCTCTTGTTCTCTTGCAAAAGTAAGTACATTTAAGTGTGTATAATGCTGCTTTCTTGATTGGACTTTTGCTTATTGAATGCGATCTAATTTTGATGCCTAATGTTCATTGGATTCTTGTGATTCAAAGTATTTAACTGAAAGATTTGGGAATGCTTCTCCTCAAATATTGAATTGCTATAATACCAAAGGATGGCTTTTGTTGGTTTTCTTTTTGTAATGGTTAGAGGAGGGACCAATCTCAAAAGGGGTAATAATTTGGAATATGTGAACATCATGTAGAAACTGAAGAAAAACAGCTATCTAATGTCTTCTTAGTTGCATCCCCATCCTCAAGGTGGAGCTTAATGCACCTGAACCGCCAAATCAATTTGGTTTTGTTTAGTCTTATGCAATGAGATACTCTACTAAAATTAGCTTCGGGTGTCAGTTGCAGTTGCTTCGGAGTGTCATCCCACCCCCTCCCCAATTGGTTATTAGCAATCTGGGAAACATCCACATTTTGTTGATTATATATATATTTCTTTATCTTTTGCAGTTTCAGAAAATAAAGGATGCCATCGTGTTACATAACACGGCTCGTTGTAGCATTGGTCCTCCTAGAGGTGTCGGGGATCTCAAGCTCGAAAGCCTCTCAGCCCCGAAGGAGAAGCAAGCAGAATCTACTGCAACATAGTACATCCTTAAATTCAAGCAAGTTTCTATGTTTTCTGGTCTTTGTATGAACACACTCAAGTTTTTTATGATTGATTTTGTCTGATTGCAATCTTTTAGTTGAAAGCAAAGCAAGTTATTGTACAATCTTGCAGCATTCTTGGTTACTATACTTTTAGGCTTGTGGCCATGTAGACTTTCTGATTTGATCACAACCATTGGATATTCGATTCTGCTTGTAAATACTTTATTGGAGATAAAAATGAAATACTTACTTTTTAAAATAAATAAATAAAGTAAACCTATGATAGAACATGCCCCTTGCGGAGTTGTCCCGACTCGTAAAAGTGTGCACAAACTTTTGGCTTCGACTTACCTTTGCGTAGGTCCTTCCTCTTCTATGCCTTTGAGTACTTAAATTTTGTCATCTAATTTTGAATTATGGTTTAAAGTAAGTCTAGTTATTGTTGAATAGGCGAATAGTAAGGGTATGTTTGACATGACTTTTGCTTTCGGTAGAAGAGATTTTGGATGAAGTCGCATTAATTTTTGTTCGGATTCTATTCCGACAGTGCTTTTAAAACAAGCCACATTGGATTCACTTTATTAGAAATTGATTTTTAACAAAACCAAACTGGTGCGGACTTAGCTTTTTATAAATAGTTCACCACTATTTATTCAGAGGCTTAATAACATAAAATCCCCTAGAAATATTTTCACGTGCAATGTAGTCCTATATATTGGAAATGGTATAAAACCTTTTTATTTAAAACTTTTTGTGTGCAAAGTCCACTTGCCTTCAAGATACGTTAGATTCACTGTTAAAAACAGTAAAAAGTGTCAAAATTAAAAATGAATAATTGCAATTTTAGTACCCAAACTTTTTATTATTTTACAAATCAAATTCAAATTTTTTTATTTGCGCTAAATACAATCCTAGATATTTAAAATTTTATTTTTCACCCCTCCCCTCCCCACCTCACCCTACCTTACTTTATTTTCTTCCCCAATAATAAAAAAATAAAAAAAGGTTCTCTCCATAAATATATACTTTTATTACACCATCTCCGCAACAAATCTTTCCTCTCTTGTTTTCAAACAGTATGCACAAGAAAACCTTAATTCTCTCCCTCTCTCTACTTATGTACATTTGATTTGTTGAATAAATCATTGTCTTGTCTACAAAGAGACGGTGTTCATGAAGAAGAAAACACTTGGTAGAAGGAAGATTGAAATGAAGAAAAGATTTAAAAAGTGAGTAACATGTAATTGACTTTCTCCAAACGTGAAGTCAGGCTTTTCAAGAAAGCGATTATTAGAGACAAATGCAGCAGCATTTCGTTTGTATTCAATTTTGTACAGTTGTAATATTCTGTTAGTCGGTCAGGTAGTTAGGTAGTTGAAATGTTAGTTTGTTTTTCTGTTTCCTTTTCAGCTAGCCTGAGCTAGCTTCTATTTAAGTGCACATTGTAATTCATTTCAGATTACGTTGAATGAGAATCTTTTCTTCTTTTCTCTTCTCCAATTCCTCCTGCAGATCTAATATGGTATCAGAGAATTAATCTTCTTTCGCTGCCCGTTTATCACAAACTCAAACAAATCTCTGCTTAATTCAATCAGAACATGTAATCTGAAAACCAATTAGAATTCAAGACTATCCGTAAAATTTGACATTGATGATTCTAGTCCTTACTTCCTTCATCACTCAGATAGTCCTGGATTAATTCTAGTTTCTCAGCAGCTTACTGGAGAAAATTATGCCTCCTGGAGCTGTGCAATGACCATTGCACTGTTGGTGAAGAATAAGCTTGGATTTGTTGATGGTTCAATATTCAAACATGATGGTACTGAGTCTAATATGATAAATTCATGGACTAGAAACAACAATATAGTCATTTCATGGATCTTGAACTCTATTTCGAAATACATATCTGTAAGTGTGATCTATGCAACATCCGCATATGAGATATGGAATGATTTGAAGGATAGATTTCAGCAGAAAATGGACCACGCATTTTTCAATTGAGGAAAGAATTGATGAATTTGTCTCAAGATCATAACACTGTTAGCGTGTATTTTACTAAGCTCAAAATGATCTGGGAAGAGTTGAGTAATTACTGTCCTAATTACAATTGTGGAAAATGTTCTTGTGGTGATGTGAAGGAGCTGAATGCTTATTATCAAATGGAGTATATAATGTCGTTTCTCATAGGTTTGAATGATTCATTTTCTTAAGTTAGAGGAGATTTTGCTTTCAGATCCATTACCTCCAATCTATAAGATATTTGATTTAATAACTCAGGAAGAAAACCAGAGAAAGATAAGCACGCAAATTAATGTTGGAGATGGTTCGAGTAGTGTTGTTGCCTTTACTTTAAGAGCTGATAACAACATATCAACGAGTGGTTCTGGCACTTATGGAACTAACCAAAAGTTTGGAGCTACTAAGAATGTCAAGAAGGAGAGGCCTTACTGATCTTACTGTAAAATTCATGGACATTCAATTGATAACTGTTATAAGATTCATGGTTATCCCCCTGAATATAAGATGAGATCAAGGGATACATCTGGACCAAACAATGTGAATCAGGTTTTTACTTGTGTTAAAAATCATAATGAAGATAACAAGCAACAACCAGGCTTTGGAAGTTTTGTTCAGAATTTGAATCTAATCAGTATCAACAGTTGATGTCCATGTTGTCTAATCACTTGGCATCAAGTTCCAATATTACCACCACTGATCAACATGACAGCAACCTCAGCTCTTATATTGTAGGTAAATGTTACTTCATATCAGTAGATTCGGCATTTTCATCCAAAGATATTTGGATAGTTGATTCGGGGGCTACTAAGCATGTATGTTCCATTGATGCAACCTTCACATCAATGAGATTCATCGATGACTCTACTATCACTTTGCTAAACCATACACAGATTACGGTTAGAATATGTGGTGATGTAAAACTGAGCCCCAGCATTGTACTACATGATGTACTGTTTATACGGCAGTTCAAATTCAATTTGCTCTATGCTAGTGCTTTAACACTTGGGTCACAACTCAACATTAATTTCTTTCATGATCATTCCTTATCCAGGAACTCAAAACTAGGAGGATGATTGGTGGGGGTGATCATTTGCAGGACTTATATGTTATTGACACCAAAGTTTTAAATTCTATTTCAAATGCTTATGTAAATAATATTTATGTGCATGTTTGGCATAGCAGATTGGGTCACCTTTCTTTCAAAAAGTTGGACAGTTTGAAGGATCAATTACTTTGTAATGTTACAAAATTCAATCAAAACATTCCTTGCTACATTTGTCCTCTTGCTAAACAAAGGTGACTATCCTTTGTTTCTAATAACCATCTCTCAGACCATCCATTTGATCTTATACATTGTGATATTTGGGGGCCATATCACATTACATCACACAGGTTACAGATTCTTCTTGCCTTTGGTTGATGATTGTTCAAGGTTCACATGGATCTATATGCTGAAACATAAGTCAGATGTAACTAATGTCATCCCAAGGTTTTTCAATATAGTGACAACTCAATTTAATGCCAAGATTAAGACCTTGAGATCAGATAATGCTCCTGAGTTGGCATTCACAGAATTCTTGGCAGTAAAAGGCATATTGCATCAATTTAGCTATGTTGAAAGGCCACAACAGAATTCTGTTGTAGAACGCAAGCACCAGCATTGTTTGAATGTTGGTAGAGCCATATATTTCCAATCAAGGGTTCCAATCAAGTTCTGGTTTGAATGTGTGTTGGTAGCCACTTTCCTGATAAATAGAACCTCATCTCCTATCCTAAAACACAAAAATCCTTATAAAGTGTCGCACAACAGATTTGCAGATTATTCCGCACTTAAGAGTTTTTGGTTGTTTGGCTTTTGCTTCTACCCTATCTGCTAACAGAAATAAGTTCTAGCCCTGTGCTAGATTGTGTGTGTTTCTATGATATCCATCAAAAGTTAAAGGTTACGAACTCTATGATGTTGTTTCCAAACAAATCTTCCTGTCAAGGGATGTCATATTCCATGAAAATATATTTCCCTTTCACACAGTCATTACTTCTGATCATCTTACTAATCCTTTTCCTGACCTTGTCCTACCACATCCCTCATTATCTATTCCCCAACATTCCAATGCTACCATCGGTCCTATCAGCCCTGATTCTAAGTCACCTATCAGCCCTCATATTCCTGATTCTGACTCACCTATCAGTCATCATTTATCATCTCAATTAGAACCTTCTGAGACCTTGCAACCTACTGGTAATCATGCATCATCTCAAGTAGATTCTTATGAAAACTTGTAGCCTACTGATGATCATTTCCATATTGCACCAGCTGCTGAACTCACTCCAGCCACCAATATCAGAAGGTCACGTAGACCTATCAATCCTCCAAACTACCTCAAAGATTATCATTGTAACATAATCACTCAAGATTCCAAAGGTTCTTTTCAATCACCTAATAACATTACACAATTCTTATCATACCACAGACTATCTCTAAACCATAAAGACTTGGTGTTAAATATCTCATCCCAGTTAGAGCTAAAATTCTATCACCAAACTGTGAAATACCCTAAGTGGCGTGCTGCCATGGACCTTGAACTTGATGCCATGGAACTGAATAACACTTGGTCAGTGGTTCATTTACCATCTAATAAACAATCTGTGGGATGTTGATGGGTGTACAAGATAAAGTACAAATCAGATGGCACAATTGAAAGACATAAAACTCGACTTGTGGCAAAAGGATATACTCAACAAGAAGGCCTTGATTATTTTGATACTTTTTCTCCAGTGGCAAAGATTTTCACTGTTAAGATTCTTCTTGCACTAGCATTATGTCATAATTGGAATTTGGTTCAGCTAGATGTCAACAATGCTTTCCTGAATGGAGATTTGTTCAAGGAGGTATGGATCTTCCCATTGGGTATAAAGTCCAGAATAACACCAAACAAGGAGGAAAATTAGTCTGTAAATTGCATAAGTCTATATATGGG